CCATACATATATACACACAAGTGGCTTACCTTCTCCCTTCTCTTTTCCACATTTAGCTAATTCATATTTCAGATTCATATACAAAAACCCTTAAAAGAGAAAGCTTGAGATCTCAATAAATGTATAAACCTAACCAACCTCTCTCAGTTTCTCTTTCACATTCATTTATAACCTTTACTCAAGAATCTCCTCTCTTTGCATGCCCATCTCTTTGTCCACAGGAATCTTGAGTTTTCTGTGTATATAAAAGAAGACAATCTTTGAAGCTTTTGTTTCAATGGAGTTTATGTCTCTCTTCTTGTCTAATCTTTGTTTGTTCTTTTGTCTTTAACCTCTTTGGCCCCATTCTTTGTTTGTTTCTTCCATCAACCACATAAACTAAAAGAAAACCTCATCTCTAAAACAAGTGTTTATCCAAAATAGAAAAAAAAATCTCTGAAAACATGAAGCAGAAACTGATAATGCTTATGTTACTTCTCCAACTTCTGTTCTTAAACTCTCTTTCTCTCACGCATTCTTCACTCAAACCAAATGCAACCATCACTGTAATGGGTCTTGTTTATTGCGATGTCTGCTCCAACAACAGTTTCTCTAAACACAGCTACTTCATTCCCGGTAAAGAATCTAACCAAAAATTTCTCAAACTTGTTAGATCCAAGTTGAAATGTCTCTCATTTTTGTTTTAACAGGTGTGGAAGTTAGAATAATCTGTAGATTCAATGCCGCTTCTTCGAGAACTAGAGAGATGATAACTTTCTCCGCGAATCGAACCACTAACGAGCTTGGACTCTACAAGCTAGACATAACATCTTTGGAAGGGGTTACTTGCGCCGAAGAAGCAGAGAAAGCTTCTCTAATGGCTTCTTGTCAAGCAAGCTTGATCGGTAGCTCCTTGGATTCTTGCAACGTTCCTGGCTACAAAACTACAACGGATCAGGTCGTTTTTAAGTCCAAGAGGTCTAATCTCTGTGTGTACGGATTTACAGCTTTGAATTTCAAACCGTTAAAGAAGAATCTTGACTTGTGTGGCAAGCAATAGAAAAAGACCTAGTCACTGTTTATCAAAATTA